CAAAATAGAAATAATCAAATAGGACTTAGCAAGTCAATTATGACTTTAATCCTCCAAATTAAATCTATCTATTCTATTTATATATAAGAAAACAAATAGCTCCTCTAAAGACAATTTTACCCTTAATGAACCCTACGTGTCTTTCTACCCACATTTTTGTCCTCTCATTCCTTAATGCCACGTGGCATTTTTATTTCTATGTTGTTGCTATTGCTCTCTCTTTTACAAGTTATAAAAGATCCCAATTTTTTAAAAGTGTTATAACTTTTTCATTTTTGCTCCCATGTTTCTAAAAAATAAATCAAAATTCATAATTTTTTGTGATCTTTCATATGAATTCAATATTGAATATATAAAAATATAATTTATTAACCGCCTCAATAATTATGTTTAAACTTGTTTATATTTATATACTTCCTCCGTTTCATATAATTGAAAGTATTGATATTTCAAAATTGACTTGCACGTAGAATAATAAAATACAAATTGTGTAGTTGATATTTCTGTATAGAAATGAGAAATAACTTTAACCACATATTTCTTACTTTATGTGGAAATGACAATGTTTTTTGAGACAACAAAAACCTGAAAGTTTGCAATGTTTTATGGGGCGAACGTAGTATAAGAAAGTAGTAGGTCATTAAAAACAATGTTTTACCCTGTTTATTATGCAATGTGTCTATCTACCAGTGTTAGAGAGCATTGCTCTACTTATGCTATGTGGATTCATCTTTTGCATTTTTTTTGTCTTTATAAAGAAACGAATTACGAAGATAGAAAATATAAAACTTTGGCTTACTAAGGGAGTGTTTGCAAGAAATTAAAGTGTTTTTCAGCTTCTGGCTTAAAAAAATTGAAATCAGTGTTTTCAAGTAACAACTTCTGTCTTGATATTTTTTACGATCTTTCATATGACACCAATATTATATATATAATTTTTTTTTAAAAAAAATATGAAGGTTTATTAAATCCTCATATTTTCCAACCACAATATCAATTATTCTGTATAAATGAATACATAATTTCTACTACCTCCGTCCCATAAAATAGTACCCATTTTGATTTGGATCGGAGTTTAGGAAAGTGGGAATAAAGTGGAAATGTATGGTTGTGGTTGAGTAAGAAAAAGAAATGAATGTTAATCACACAAAATTTTTCAAAAAGAGAAATGAGAACTATTTTTTGGGACGGCTCAAAAAAGAAAGTGAGAATTATTTTATGGGACCGAGGAAGTAATATATAAATAAAATAAGGATAATACATATAAATATGACTTATTGATTTTTAGTTAATATAATTGTGTTTCAAATTATATCAAAGTGACTATAAAAGGATACTCATAGCCAATTTAGTTACTGTTGAGGTTTATTCCCTTCAACCCGCAGGCCCAACACGTACCTGGGGTTTGGAGTGGGTGGAGAGCAAATGAACTTACTAAAACAATGAGGATGGATTAAATGACTGTTTCCTTTAATATAGTGATTACAAGCCGAAGGGCCGAACATACTGAAAATAAGCTACGTACTGTTGACGCTATTACAACTCTAGAGTAACGATGTGTGAACCCCTTACAATGAAATAAATGCGGCTATTTATAGTACACCCTGGTGGTTGGGGGGCTGACGTGGCCGGCTGTGGACGACATGATTCCAACCACCAAATCTTCAGCATTAAATGCGCTTCCCGCCAAGATCTTAGTTTCCCGCCATAATGCGGGGGACGTCCGTCCCTAAACTGAACTCAATTCTAAGATGGCAACATGGGCCTTTAAGTATAGCCCACAAGACGTCCATCCCTGGGCCCTTGAACCCTGAGGCCTGGCTATGCTGGGCTACGTGCGTCCCCTGGCCCTTAGGCCCTGGAGACCTGGTTGTGCTGGGCTACGTACGTTCCCTGGCCCTTAGACCTTGAGGTCAGGCTGCTGGGCTACGTGCATCCCCTGGCTCTTGGACCCTGAGGCCTGGCTATGCTGGGCTACGTACGTCCCCCGACCCTTGGACCTTGAGGCCTGGCTTTGGTGGGCCACGTACGTCCCTTGGCCCTTGGGCTTCAGGGGTTGATGGGCCGATCCTTACATTGTTGTATATGCAATATTTGTTTTATGAAATATCATAAAAATTGTGAATTTTAATATCTACATTGTGATGTATATCGTGCATATTTATCATTGGAAATAGCAAAGCAGGATAGCTAACTCATGAGATTTGCAATTCAATGTGTAGGGCAAGACATTATACACATGAATCTCATCATATTAGAAAATACTCTCCCTGTCTCATAATTTTCTCTCCACTCACCATTTTGGGATATCCCAAAAAATTCTCATCATTCCCCCTTTTGGGGAGTTTTGTGTGGCTAAGATTCATTTACCTTTTTCTTACTGAATCTTAATCTCACATTTCCACTTTATTTGTACTTTCTTAAATTCCGATCCAAGTCAAATCGGGAAGATAGATTTTTATGGGAAGGGGAAGAGTATTATTATTTCCGGTGAACCAAATCACCTTTAATAGTAAACAGAATGAGAATTCTTTTTTTTTAATACAGAATGTGAATCCTTAAAAATTCACATTTCATTAAATATATAAATATATTTGAATTTTGTTATTATTGTAAACTTCCAAATCTGTACATACTAACGAGATAGACTTACGAAAGAGTTTCAGATGCTTCCTAATCTAGCATTTGGAAGAATATTTGAACAAAAAATGCATCTCTTACTATATAACGGGCCATGAAAGAAGCACCGTAGAAGATTACCAACGGGAATAAGAAGTCAAATCGAAATGAATTTAGAAAAATGAAAATAAACTTGTGAATAAAAGTTCACACTATTCATAATAATGAGCTAGAGAATTGTTTCTCTCATATATAATTTTTTTAAGTATATGATATGCCGGGTAACAATTGAGTGAAAGAACTTCTTTCTCATATGTAGTACTTTTAGGAGTTCAGCTTCTCTCTATTTCTCATCCATTTCTTTTTTCTTCTTATCAATCTCTACTTTTTTTCTATCTTACTCATCAACATACCCCATCATAATTTCCCTCCTCTCTATCTCTCTCCAATTGGAAGTATCCAAGTTACTGGAGAGGATCCAAATTCTACTTTTAGATATAGGGTAAGCTAGCTAAGAATTGAGTGGAATAACATACTTTCTTCTTATAAGCTTCCCATTGATCTTTTTCTTGCTAACAATTGAGCGGGAAGATTGAGGGTGAGAATTTGCTCTCTCATATGTAGTGCTTTTAAGTATTAGAATTAGGATATAATCTTATTAACAATTGAATGAGATAACTTTCTCTGTAATATGTAGTTCTTTTAAATATAAGATAAGTCGACTAACAATTAAGCGGAATAATTTTATTTCTCATTTGTATGCTTTTAGGTATAAGAAGCTAAGAAGAAAAGCTTGCCAACAATTGAGCATGTGAATTTTCTCTCTCATATGTAGTATTTTTTGTAAAAGGTAAAATAAGTCAGCTAACAATTGAGCAGAAGAACTTTATCTATCATATATAATTTTTTCAAGTATAAGATAAGATGGCTACAATTGGGCGGAACAATATCTCTCTTTCATATGTAGTGTTACACTCGAGATTAATTCTGTGATAGTTTGTGAGGATAGTACTAGAGGTTTGGAGTAATTACCTCGGATCCTACAGGACGGGGTGTTACAGGTAATGCTTTTAGGTATAAGGTAAGCCGGTTAACAATTGAGTGGGGGAACTTTCTCTCTTATATGTAAGAGTTTTAGGTACAAGAAAATAATAATGCTAATAATTGAGTGGAATAATTTTCTCTTTCATATGTATCACTGTTAGATATTAGAAAATAAGTTGCTAACAGTTGAGCGAGGGAATGGAGCGGGAAAATTTATCTCTCATATGTAGTGTTTTTAGGTATAAACTAATCCGACTAACAATTGATCGAGTGGACAATTTTCTTTCATATGTAGTTCTTTTAGGCCGTGTTTGGTTGGAGGGTTTCGGAGGGGAGGGGAGGAAAACGGGGAATTTGTGTGTGTTTGGTTGAAGGAAATAGTGGGGAAGGGGAGGAAAGTGGAAGACTTTCAAAATCCTCATCCTCCACTTCCTCCCATTCTAAATCCCCAAATTGGGGTATTTCGGAGGAAACATGTTGATAACCACAAACTATCCATCTGAATGAAGAAAACGTTATAATATAAAAAGGAAAAAAACAAAACGTTTTGAAAAATTAAAAAATTAAAAAATTAAAAAATTTAAAGATTAAAAAATCTAAAAAAAACATCAAAATTAAAAAATATATAAATTATAAATTAAAAATTTTAAAAATTAAAAATAAAAAATTTAAAAAATTAAAATTAAAAATTAAAAATTCCAAACTGAAAAATGAAAAATTATAAAATTAAAAAAGTAAAAAATAAAATAAAATAAAATTATGACTCATGATCATAGGAGTAATATTCACAATAGTTAGACATGTATCTATTTTTTTAAGTAAGCTATCAAATAAAAGTAAATTGCGAAAATATTTTCATTAAAACTTTCCTCCAACCAAACACAAATTTTTATCAAAATCCTTCCTTCCACTTTCCTTCCCTTCCCTCCTTGACTCTCCTCTTCCCTCCCCTCCTTTGAACCAAACAAGGCCTTAGGCATAAGAGAAACTGGTTGAAAATTTAGCAGAATAATTTTCTCTCTCTCATATGCTAGTTTTAATTTAACTGATGAGTACCAACTTCTTTTTCAACTGATAATATTCATCAATTTTAATAATTATTCAACTCACTTAAACTTTATGTCACTCACATATTGTTCTCACTTTTTCAGAATAGTATTTAATTTTAAATTTAATTTAATCATGAAAAATTATAAGTAGTAAATTCTAATGATCGATGTCAATTGATTTTTCCTACTTCATCGGATATATATTTAATGGGCTTATACTTTATGGTATTAGCTTATTATAAAGTAGTAAGGCATTAGAATACGGAATATCATCTGCTCCAAATTTTCCAAGCACGGAGAAAAGAATATAGTACTCCAAATTTTGAATTTACAAGATTTTATGCTCTTATTTAAGGCAACTTTCATTAATATTAGCCATTCGTACTGCATTTTGAACCGTCAGCCCAAATAACTTCTACTTATGTTACGTAAGGAGTACTTTTTTACACAACAAACTAATTTAAGAAAGAAAAAAAAAATACTCACGTGGCTACGTACGTTCAATGAACACAGCTAGCATGGCTTCCACATGGAATGCCTTTGGCCACCACTCTTTCTTATCGCTAAATTCCTCCGCAAAATAATTACTAGTAACTACTAGTACTGTCATTATTTTAATCAGTTGCAGAGGATGGGTATCAAGAGAGAGTGAGAGAGCATGGAGGGGACGTGGGGGCTATGCCTCCATTATTATAATCATACTAAGGGGTGGATACCAATGTGGTAACGTTTTTGTTAGATCGGTTGTATTTCATGTGACTCTTGACGAGCTGCCCTGCTGAGATGGCAGACATCAGTGATAGCTCTCCTGCAAGAACTGCACCTGCTACAATGGTGGCCAAGAGCCTGGCATTTGCTCCTGGGCAGTCTTGGTTAGCACCCTTCACTCCTAGTAAGTTCAAGCATGCTGACTGGGATGCCAGCTGAGTTCCACCCCCAACTGTACCCACCTGCACCATTCATACATGTCGTCTTTAGTTTCAACTATTTAAAAATTTGTAGTATACAAAATTAAACTTGTACGCAACTTGCCAGTGTTCAATTCGTTTGAAAAGAGGCAGAATTTTATGTTAAAATATTTGTGCACACATTTTGTGTATCCAAGAATTACCCAACAAAATCAATAAACAGTAATAAAAACAAGAGTACCCCAAGAGGAGGCAGTAATAGTTGACTTGTTGAGTGGTCCCATACTTCCATCAAGAAACAAATAAAAAAGAAAAGAGAAATCCTTAAAGAGGACAAGTGGTGGACATGCAGCAATAACAGCACATGAGTTACTTGAAACACCTTGAAGTTTCAGAGGAAAGTGAGGAGATTGTTCCTACTCAGTACAGAGCAATAGAGTATTTCAATGCAGCCCCACTTAGACCGACTTTTTAGACATTTCAACTAAACTCAGACTGAATATAATAATAATCCAATTGTACGTGCAGCTATCAGTATTTGTTTTTCTTTTTTCTTAAGAAAGGATAAAAAAATCAAATGGTATACAATAAGAACAAAGGAAAATGTTAATACCTCAATGGACGGCATGGTTACAGAGATATGAAGGTCCTTGCCGCCATTCACAGCCTCCATCATAGTGATGCACTGAGAACTCTCCACGTTTTGAGCCGGGTCCTGACCGGTGGCTATGAACACAGCTGACACAATATTGCTGGCATGAGCATTAAAACCGCCAAGGGCACCGGCCATGGCGGAGCCAGTGAGGTTTTTTAGAATGTTCAGCTCAACAAGAGACGCAACTTCTGTCTTCAAGACCTTCTTTACCACCTCTTCGGTGATTATTGCTTCACAAACAACTGATTTGCCTCTCCCCTCAATCCAGTTCACCGCAGCGGGCTTCTTGTCAGAGCAAAAGTTCCCTAATAACGATTTTTATTTACAACCATCTGTTAATGTATCATTTTTGTGCTGAAATCTACGGTTAGAAGATGTTAATTGCACCATCATTATTTCTCTGTGATGATTTCCAACTCGTTTACAATCGATTGACTTGCTAATACACTAAACTAATCACAGACTCACATTGAAGTGTGAAGTAGAACTATTAAATTAAATACATTTAGGAACAAGTCAAGATTTGAAATGCAATGTTGGATTGACATTACTAATCTGGTCGAGTGTGAATTTTCCCTTTTATTATTACGTAGTGCTTGGCTGGTTAGCTCTGATATTTGATTAAGTGTCTAGACTAATAGGTAGGCTGTGATGATTTGGTGAAAGTGCCAAAGCCATCATAGGATTTGCAACAAGAAAAAACAAAAACAAGTGAAATACCAGAAATTCCTAGGACATCCATGTCAGGGAATTCACTTCGAAGGAAATCAAGAACATTTTGCACACCCTTGGAGACCATGTTCATCCCCATGGCATCACCAGTACCACAGCTGAATCTCATGTACAGATTTTTTCCTGCTATTGCACATCGAATGCTTTGTAATTTGGCAAATCTGCTTGATCTGCAAACACACACAATGAAACAAAAATAAAATATGAAATAGAAAGAAAGATTTTTCCAAGTGAAAGAACAGTATAGCTTTCTAGTGTGAAAGTAAACAAATGAAGAATCTAGTCCAGCCTGACAAAAACAAAAACAAAAGGAAAAGAGAAAGTTTCCAACTTTCCTTCTTTAACACTTTCCAATATTTACAGGCAAAAGTTGTTAGAAAACAGAGAACGTATACTCCTCTTATTTACTTGGGAAAAATTACATCCCAACTTTTTAGAAGAACAGAAATAAAATTAAAAAGATACAACTACAAAGCTAATAAAAGTAGAAATATGAAGTACGAGTACAAGTTAAAAATAGAATATTAGAAGGTGAATTTAAAGGAGTGCTATAGACAGAGAGGTAAACAAAAAGATTAACAAAAGTGCACTTTACTTGTTAAAGATAACGGCAAGAGTCTCATAATTCAGGGGATCCTCAACAAAGAACTTCAGCTCAGCGGCCCTCATGGCGGTGCCGAACCTCACCACCGGAGCTCTGGTCATTCCGTCTCTGAGAACCACGCTGGAAGCTCCACCGGAAGCAAAGATGGCCTTGCAACCTCTGTTAGTGCTAGCCACCAAACAGCCTTCGGTGGTGGCCATAGGCACAGAGTACTCGCTCCCATCGAGCAGCAGTGGGCCCGCAACTCCCACTGGTATTTGCACGTACCCAACGGGCATCTCACAGCACTGCCCGAGAATTGATTCGTAATCCAGCCCTTCCAATGGGAGTCCATCCAGTGACTTCCCAGTGATCCTCTGCAAAGCCTCACGGCGAATTGAAGCCGCGCGCTTACAATCCCCAAGCTTCGATTCCAACAAATATGATGGAGTTCTCCCCTCCACGACGGACATTATGATCGCTTCATCCTCCTCTGATTCTGCCGGTGTGATTATAGGAGCTGGTTTCTCCAAAACCTTTGAGACATTTTGTCGAGTAGGTGGTGGAGGAACAGGGCACCTGCGAGTGGTTGCGGAGTCGAAAGGCGCGCCGCGGCTGTCACCCTCCAATCTTATGTATTGCTCATTGGTCTCGCCTTCAAGGCCCCAAACGTCCTGGTTCGCCCTGTAGATAAAAGATTGCACAAACCCTATTCCAAAGAATCCGAGAAGGTAAATCACCGAGGCGGCCAACGAAGCCAAAGCGGCCAACTCCGAGACGGTGACGACGTGGAGAGGGGTGGAGTTACGGATCTTCTCCCTCCACCGGACAAGGAGGAAATACATCACAGTGAAGAACATGGTGAAGAACAGCCCATTGATCAAATATAAAGGCAGGGGAAGGGCATCCGAGGCTTTCTGGGAGGGAACTATGAGATACTGCTGCGGCTGTTTATGGAGCTTTTGCCGTTCACCGCCGTCTGAATGCTTGGGCTGGTTAAGTGGCTTGCTGGGACGGCGGCGGACGTCCATTGTGGAAATGAAAAGTGGACGGAGCCCCGGCAAAAATGGTTAGAGGCTATGGGCTATGGCGGTTAGAATCCGAAAATGGGTTATGAGTGGTGGGAAGTTAGGAGAGGGAATACTATACGGGGTGGTATATACAGCGGCGGTTGTCGCGCTGTACTTCAGCACCACACTAACCGCGTGTACGTTGATTCCAATATTTTTTTCAAGAAATAAAACAGAAATTTCAATACTGTTCTAAATTCCGGACACCTATAATCAGGACACTTAGCTAGTTCTAGTCCTTGTAATCAGGTCACTCATCTACTTCTAGTCCTTGTACATATAGATAGACAGATGGATTGATTTACATCCCTATAAATAAGAGCTTGATGAACTCTTGTAAACTAACTCAGAAATTCAGAAAATTTCAGATATTAAAAAGAAGTACTTCAGAGGTTTTTATCTATATATCTATCTCATAAATTTAGTCTTCATCTTCTTAATTTCACAACACGTTATCAGCACGAATCTGCTCAAAATCTTTAGTAATCATCATCTCTTGCAGATGTGGATCATTCAAATGATAAAGAGCTATGTCTGATAGACAGCGCCACAACGCACACCATTTTGAGAAATAAAATATATTTTTCTCAAATGACTTTAGTTGAAGCTAAAGTCAATACAATATCTGGTGTTGCGAAGCTCATTGAAGGCTCTGGGAAAACATATGTGATGCTCCCTAACGGGACAAAAATTATTATAAATGGCGCTTTATACTCCAGCAAATCTCGGAGAAATTTATTGAGCTTTAAAGATATGCGTCAAAATGGTTATCACATAGAAACCATGAATGAAAACTAAAAGGAATATCTTTGTCTTACAACAACTAAATCTGGCACTAAATTTATTTGTGAAAAGATGCCAGCATATTCCTCAGGACTATATTTCACATATATAAGTTCATTCGAAATAAATTTGGTTTCTAAGACAAAGTTAGATGATCAGAAAACATTCATGTTGTGGCATGACCGTTTAGGTCACCCAGGCTAGGTAATGATGCATAAAATCATTAAGACTTCACTTGGACATCCATTAAAGAATATCCGGATTCCATTGTCAAGTGATTTTTCTTGTAAGGCCTGTTCTCTTGGCAAAATGATCATCATGCCTTCTATAAATAAAATTGCAACTGAATCACCTGCATTTTTGGAGAGGATTCAAGGAGATATTTGTGCGCCGATAGCCCCACCATGTGGACCATTTCGATACTTTATGGTGTGATTGATGTTTCAACACGTTGGTCACATGTCAGTCTATTATAGACTAGAAATCTAGCATTTGCTAAACTCCTTGCTCAGATCATACGATTAAGAGCTCATTTTCCGGATCATTCTATAAAAAGACGCCGACTTGATAATGCAGGAGAATTTACATCCCAATCATTTAACGACTATTGTATGTCGATTGGGATTGATGGGGAGCACCATGTTACTCATGTCCATACACAAAATGGTCTTGGTGAATCTTTGATTAAATGATTACAATTAATCGTCAGACCATTATTAATGAAGTGTAATTTACCTTCATCAGCTTGGGGACATGCTATTTTACATGTAGCAAATTTAATTCAACTTAGACCAACTGCATATCATGAATATTTCCCAATGCAATTAGTTACTGGACAAGAGTCAAACTTAGCACACATTAAGATATTTGGTTGTTCTGTTTATGTTCCGATTGCTCCACATCATCGTACAAAAATGGGTCCTCAAAGAAGGTTGGGAATTTATGTTGGTTTTGAATCTCCCTCAATAATAAAATATCTCGAACCGATGACTGATGACTTATTCACAGCACGGTTTGCAGATTGTCATTTCAATGAGACAGTATTCCCGACCTTAGGTGGAGAAAATATAAATTAGACCCGTGTACGAAAAAAATAACATGGAATGCAACAGGATTATCACATCTTGACTCAAGATCAAATTTATGTGAGCAAGAGGTACAAAAGATAATTCATTTACAAAATGTTGCAAATCAGTTGCCTGATGCGTTCACAGATACAAAGAAAGTGACAAAGTCGCATATTCCTGCTATGAATGCCCCTGCCTGCCTGCCAGAATCAAAATCCCAACAGAGAATTTCGAAAAAATCTCTTGCAAATGATTCTTCTATACGCAAAAAGCGTGGCAGGCCACTTGGATCAAAAGACATAAAACCAAGAAAAACTAAAAGACAGGAATTGATCTGTGATGCCAAAGATGTTCATCCTTCTGAAAAAGAAAATGAACAATTTGAAAATATTGGCATAGAAAATGATATTGACAAAACAAACATCTCAAATGATGATCCAACTTCCTTAAATGAGGAGGATATTCCTGATAATAATAGAAACGTTGATAATTATGAAATTTCAATAAACTACGTTTCTACTGGAATGCAATGGAATCGTAAAGATGTTGATATTAATGAGATATTTGTCTATGCCATTGCCACGAATGTTATGAATGAAAACAATGACAATGAGCCAACATCAATTGAAGAATATCGGAAACAACACGATTGGCCAAAATGGAATGAAGCTATTCAGGCTGAATTAAAATCACTTGAAAAACGTGATGTTTTTTTATCGATAGTCCCTATGCCAAAAGGCGTAAAATCAGTGGGCTTTAAATGGGTATTTGTGCGTAAACGCAATGAGAAAAATGAAATCGTAAGATATAAAGCCCGACTTGTTGCCCAAGGTTTTTCACAAATGCCGAGAATTGATTATGAAGAAACCTATTCTCGAGTAGTTGATGCAACTACATTAAGGTTTCTCATTGGCACGTCAGTTTTTGAAAGGCTACAAATGCGCCTAATGGATGTAGTGCCTGCATATTTATACGGTTCACTCGATACAGACATTTATATGAAAGTTCCTAGAGGATTTAAAATGCCTGAAGCTTATAGCTCGAAACCTCGAGAAATGTTTTCCATAAAACTACAAAAGTCATTGTATTGACAAAACAATCTGGACGAATGTGGTATAATCGTCTCAGTGAATACCTTATCAAAGAAGGATATAAGAATGATCCAATTAGTCTATGTGTTTTCATTTGGCGATCAAATTCGGGATTCGTCATAATTGCAGTATATGTTGATGACTTAAACATTATTGGAACTCCAGATGAAATTGAAAATACTGCAAAATATCTTATGAAAGAATCTGAAATGAAAGATCTCGGGAGAACCAAATTTTGTCTCGGACTTCAAATTGAGCATTTGAAGAATGGAATTTTCATCCATCAATCCAATTACACCGAGAAAGTTTTGAAGAGATTCTATATGGACAAAGCTCATCTGTTGACTTCACCAATGGTAATTAGATCTCTCAACATACAAGATGATCCATTCCATCCCCGAGAAGACAATGAAGAAACACTCGGTCCCGAAGTACCATATCTGAGTGCTATTGGAGCATTGATGTATTTAGCTAATAATACTAGACCAGATATTGCGTTTTCTGTAAATTTATTAGCTAGGTACAGCTCATGTCCAACAAGGCATCATTGGAACGGGATCAAACACATATTCCGTTATCTCCGCGGTACAGCTGATCTCGGTCTATTCTACCACAAAGAGGAAAAAGCCGCTTTAATCGGATATGCAGACGCTGGATAATTATCAAATCCTCAAAAGGCCAAATCACAAACTGGGTACATATTTACTTATGGTAATACCGCAATCTCAGGGAGATCTATGAAGCAGACATTGACAGGTACATCTAGGGCTGCACAAGAATAACTCGAACCCGCATAACCCGCCCGACCCAACCCTACCCGACCCTATTTAATCGGGTATTCGATTTTTAAAATATTCATGGGTTAATTATGATTGAACCCACGCCTAATGGGTAGGGTTGCGGAATTAAAATCTCCAACCCGATAGTACCCGACCGGGCCGAAGTTCATTTTACTATTATTATGTTACAATGTTTTCTTGGATAATTTCAATTTACGACCAATGTGCTCTATCTTAGACTTTATGATACTAGAATTATAATTAAACATTTACCATTTTGACTAGGTCATTATTATATATTTATGTTTCCTTCTAAATGATCTTCCTTTACGGAATGATGTTTTAATACTATTATCTAATGTTTTTACTTATAAAAGATACAAGTACTTGTATTTGTTTATGTGTTTTGAAAACAAGTTAATCGAGTTTTAAATTGGTTACATTAATCTCCCACATAAAGATGCAACCCGAAGTGATTTTTTTTCAATACCCGACCCTACCCGACCCGTTCATGCATGGTTTACCAACTTATTTTGCGTACCGCGGGGTGAATAATAGTCAACCCGAACAAATCGGGTAGGTCCAAAAAATATAGCAAACCCGACCCAACCCGCCCGATGTGCAGCCCTAGGTACATCATCAAATCATTCTGAGTTAATTGCACTATATTAAACCGGAAGAGAATGTGTGTGGCTGCGATCTATGATTCAACACATCCAAAATGAATGTGGTATGAGGCCTCTTACTTGTCATCCTACTGTGATCTACGAAGACAACACTGCGTGCATAGCTCAGATTAAAGAAGGTTAAATCAAAGGAGACAGAACAAAACACATATCACCAAAGTTCTTCTCTACTCACGATCTTGAGAAAGAAGGGACAATCAACATTCAACAAATTAGATCCACTGAAAATCCGGCCGATCTCTTCACCAAATCTTTACCCCCAAAGAAGTTCATAGAACTTGTGCAGAAAATCGGCATGCGCCGCCTTCAAAATTTATGTTAATTTAAGGGGGAGTGTTTGAATGCACTGCACTCTTTTTTCCTTCATCAGGTTTGTATCCCACTGGGTTTTTCCTGATAAGGTTTTTAAAGAGACAGTACATCCAAAGACAACGACATTATAAGTCATACTCTTTACCCCTTAATTTTCACAATAAGTTTTTGAAATAATAAATACCTATTCAAGAATGAACATTCAATGGGGAGTGTTGTAAATTCCTGAGAATGATATGTGTGAATTGTTCATCCTTGTAATCAGGACACCTAGCTAGTTCTAATCCTTGTAATCAGGCCACTCATCTACTTCTAGTCCTTGTAATCATAGATAGACAGATGGCTTGATTTACATGTGCCAGCAAAATTGTGTAGAACTATTTGGGGTGATTCATCA